TTATTTTTATTTTATTAATTTTAAATTTACAAATAAAATTTTCATCTTAAACTTAGACTTCGTTTGGGACGGCTTTCTTACTGCTTCTTAAAGCGGCTTTGTAGTAAAAAAAATTTAACTTTTTAACTAGAAAGTTGTTTTAAGAAGAAGGAAGAAAGCGGTCCCAAACGAAGCCTTAGGCTTCATTTGGGATGACTTTTTTACTATTTCTTAAAGCAGTTTTTAATACAAAATTTTTAAAAAGCTGCTTTAAGAAGTATTAATAAAGTCATCCTTTAAGCTTCGTTTGGAACAACTTTCTTACTGTTTTATAAAACAGCTTCCTGGTACAAAATTTTCTATATCAAAAACTTTTTTTTACTAAAAGTTATTTTAGAAAGCAGTAAAAAAATATATCCCAGACGAAGCCCTAAAGAGATTTTTGGAGGCATTTTGATATTGATTTTTAAATGTGCATTATTAAATAAAAAATAATAGTAAAGTCAAATGAGGCAAAAAATTATTCGTTGGGGTAAAAGGAAGCCTAAATTAGGGGAAGTTCATTTCTTGTTGAAAAAAAAAAGAGAAAGTTTCTCTTTGTGCATTCATCTTTTGACAAATAGTGATGGTACAAATTCTGCAGACTTATCAATTGATACATTATTTGAACATATGGAAGAAATGGGTGGCCAAAGTCCTCAAGGAATTGGGGAAAAAATGGGAACAAATGCTTGTGATGAATTTATACATTTCTAATAATTTTGATTTATTTTGCATTGTTAGCTCCTTGAGCAATTTGTCTAACATTAAGAAGTTGCGAATTGTTTATTCTATCAAAAAGAAAAGTCAAATTTTATGGGAATTTCGAATTTTTTTCGCATAATGGCTCTAATTGGAAAAATTTTCTACTTATTTTTTATTTAGGCCAATATCTTTCAAAACTCTTTTTGAGCAAAAATATTATGCTTGAAGACTTGAAGTCGATGTAAGAGGCAAAACTCCAAGATTTATCCCCCTCTTTCCTTTGCTTCATATTTAGGTTTTGTTTAGGACAGCTTTCTTACAGCTTCTTAACAGCTTTTTAATACAAAAATTTTAATTTTTGAACTAAAAAATTGCTTTAAGAAGCAATAAGAAAGCTATCTCAAATGAAGCATTAATATATATTTCTCAAGTCCGTAGTGATTATTAAAAGATAGAAAAGGATTGAACTTTATTAAGGAGGAGATGGTTAGCATTTAAAGGATCTTGATATGGGGTGGAAACTCCTTATACTTCTTTTCCCTATTTAGATAAATACATCACGAAGCTTGGTTTGCACCAACAACAACAATTAAGGATTCTTCACTATAATCATATGCAAAATGTTAATATGAATCTCTCTTTGATGTTGTGGTTGAAACTACTTTCCAATTTAGGCTTTATTTTCATAGATGTAATTTGTTTTATGTATGTCATGCTATCATGGTAATGCATCATCTATCATTTTAGGTTGCGGAGGAAGAGATTGATGGGTCTTGGATGTATAAATGAGGGGCATTGTGCTCCCTTTCATATTAGATGATATATTAAGGTGGAAATATTTCTAAAAAGAATGCTAAATTATTTTGTCCTTAAATTCATATCTATAAAGATAGAATATTTGATTGGGTAAGCTATAAATGTTATCTTATATATACTAAAAAGGTTATTAAAGTGGGCATGGGTCATAACATCTTCCAATATGTGAAGATGATATGACCAAAACATTATACATGAAGTAATAATAAAAGATTTGAGAGCATTATGAATTGCTGGGATGTTGTTACTCTATAAATTTAGATGACATGACATGAAGGCAGAACACGAAATAGTATGACATGATGTCTACTGAATGTAATCATACTGGTTAGTCCTAGAGGTAGAGATGTTATGACTCAAAAGTAGTAATAATATTGTGCATGAAGGACATAGAGGCCCATTTAAATGGGTAAATTGGTCCTATCTAAAATTTGAATATGTTATGATTTGAAGAAAGTGACAAGATTGTGAACAGATGTTATGCAGGCCACCATAAATGATCAAGTTAGTCCTCACTTAAAAAAGGTAATGAAATGAATCCAAAAGTGTTACTACCACTACTAATGATAAAATGTAGTTAGGATAACTTCTATCCTAAAAGGCGAGGGGATTAAAAGAACCAGTGTTAATAAGTAATTTAAGGTGTTCATAATAGTCCCTTTCTTGAATAATTTTTAAATTTTAAATTTATAGTTAATTCAGCTCTTTTAACTTGATTAAATGCCTCATAACACAAAATTTATATCAAATGTTATATTTAATCAAACAAAAGCTTATAGCACTCAACCACTTAATTTGCTCCCTTTAAAATATTATAAGAATTTTTTGTGGTAATAGAATAAAATTATGTCGCTTCATTCAAGATAATTTTCTTATTGTTTTCTACAACAGGTTTTTAATATAATTTTTTTTTTTAACAGCAAAATATTAGTGGTCAAAAGCTATTCCAAACGAAGCCTTAACTTCTCTAAACGTGCTCTAAATAAGAGAATTTTTTTAATATATATAAAGGACACCATGCTAGGCACCGACCTCAATCCAACTCAAATCAAGCACACCATGTTTCCTAACCCACGACACAATGGCCCAATTCTCAGCTCTTTGGATACAGCTATTCTATAGAACAAATCAAACCAAGCAAGAACTGACCATTAAACAGCTCATAATGCTTTATAAAACGACTAATTTTATTGGCATCACAAAATCACTAACAAAATAATTTTGGCTTTTACTATATGTCCTGTTTCAACTTGATTAAAATAAAATTTTATATTTGATCAGGCAAAAGTTTATAGCACTCAAGATAATTTTCTTATTGTTTTCTACAACAGGTTTTCAATATAAATTTTTTTTTTAAGCAGCAAAATATTAGTGGTCAAAAACTACTATTCCAAACGAAGCCTTAGCTTCTCTAAACGTGCTCTAAATAAGAGAATTTTTTTAATATATATAAAGGACACCATGCTAGGCACCGACCTCAATCCAACTCAAATCAAGCACACCATGTTTCCTAACCCACGACACTATGGCCCAATTCTCAGTTCTTTGGATACAGCTATTCTATAGAACAAATCAAACCAAGCAAGAACTGACCATTAAACAGCTCATAAGGCTTTATAAAACGACTAATTTTATTGGCATCACAAAATCACTAACAAAATAATTTTTGCTTCTTCTATATGTCGCACTTATCATAAGAGAATTAAGCATTGTATGCATAAATAAATTACTAGAGAGTATTTTTTTTTTCTTCTCATAAAAAATATATTTATATTTCATTATTATTTTGTCCTATAAATAACGGTAGACATAAAAAGAATTGGTTAGAAATTATTAAAAATGCCTTTTTTATTAGATTTAAATAAGATTCAATTTGACTCTTAGACTTTGTTTGGGACGTTTTTTGTACTAGCCTGTATTTTGATCCATAAAAATAATTTTTTGAGGATGTGAGGTATGTCAGGAATCCTTCATGTTCTTGGTCTTTTTATTTTAGCTATTATTTTGTACTCAAGACATGATAGATATGTGATGATTGTATAAATCATGAGTATTGTATTATTTTTGAGAATGAATACATATATGTACACTTATATTTTGAATTATTGAATATGTTTTGTTGTTTATTACAGATATATGATATTAAATAGCTCTGATTGTTGTTTATTAAAAGAGAAATGAATAATTTTTCTAAATCAGATTCTAGAGTATCATAGTTTTGTTACCGCTTCTTAAAACAGCTTTCTAGTAAGAAAGTCATCCAAACAAAGCCTTAATAAAATATAATAAAGAAAAATGATTCATATAACTGAACCAATTAATGTGATGAGATAAAGGCTTGATATCATTGTTGTTGTACTATTCTGCGTTATATAATATTCCTTTATCCATTATCAACACTCTCAAGCATGCATGCAAGCATGTGACTTAAACATGGGTGGTAGAAATGATTAATTTCTTCTATTGAGAAATTAAGTAAATATAAAAATATTATGCATTTAATTAATATTTATTTTATATTATTTGTTAGATTTATCATAAATTAATCATATATTAAGATAATTATACTTTCTAAATTAAATTTCCAATATTAAAATAAATGAATTGGCATATATATGATGATGCATGCTCATATGGTTAATTATCTATGTTAAAATTCCTCAACACATCATAATATTCCTTCCAACTTTGTTCCATAAAGAGCTAAAACATAAATCATTTAGCACAAAACCATCAGTACATTAATTACCTAATCTCATCATCTTACACAAATGCACCTATCACATATGGTGGACCCTTACACCCACCCATCCTTCATATAAAATAAAATAAAATTTACATTATTAGAAAAATAGGATTTAAATTAATGAATATAATTAGGAGAGTTAAAAAACTTATATATATTTTTTTGAAAAAGACATTAATTTTTAATCTTAAAATTATTAAATTTATTTTAACATAAGCGTAATAATAATTTTATAAAAATTAGAACAAATATTCTTAGCTTTTAAATTAATATATAGCATTGCTATTATATTTAAATAATTTGAATTTACAGGTTTATTCAATAATAATAATAAATATTATTATTATAAAATATAAGATAATATAATAAAATATTATGATATTTAATGTAATTAAAATAATAAATATTGTAGAAAATTTTACCTTTTTGTCCATTATTTAAGATTATATAATGAAAATTAGATCTGTATATCATAACTCTTTTTTTAATTTAATTAATTAATTTCATAATGTACTTATATCAAAATAAATGTAATGACTTTTTAATTAATTATAATCATAATTTAGCATTTTTTTTTACCCAAAAATTTTCCTATTTTAAATAATATAGACACGCGTCCCCTATTCTTTTTCTATTTTCTTCCCATTTAACCCTCTCCTCTCCTATATAAATTAAGACCCGAAGCTTCAGTTGTTCTCCAACCACAAGCCCAAAATCACTCAGCTATGCGACCTCGTGAGCCTCAATGCGACGCCGGCGGCAACCACCCCAAGGAACTAGCCGTTAATGGCAACGGTAACAATTCCTTACCGTTTCTCTCCACCGCCGTCTTCCCCATGACTCTCAAAGTAAGCCTTCTACTAACTACATCCCATTTCATTCAATTTTCTAATTAAACAATACTAATCACCATAATTAAGCTAAAAACTTATTAATTAAAACAGTTTGAAGAAGTCGTTTACAAAGTGAAAACGGGAAACGCGAAGGAGAAGACAATACTGAACGGAGTAACAGGCATGGTTTGCCCTGGAGAGATGCTTGCTATGCTGGGTCCATCCGGAAGCGGTAAGACCACCCTGCTCACAGCTCTCGGCGGCCGCCTCCCAGCCAAAAATCTCTGCGGTAAGATTACCTATAACGGCCTGCCGTTCTCCGCCGCCGCCCGCCGCCGCACCGGCTTCGTCGCACAGGACAACGTTCTTTATCCGCACCTTACCGTCACCGAAACCCTTATTTACACCGCTTTGCTCCGCCTGCCTCGGTCGCTGACCC